TTAATTCTATGTACTTATATTTTAATCAATATATTTTGATAAAGTATTTTAGTTTATCTTGTTTTGATTTGAAAGGTTTTTACCAGAGTGTTACGGAAACGGCGACCCCAATCAACCACAAAAGTCGGTTCTTGATGTAAAATACAAGAGGCTTTATTGCTAGCGCGCTAGGACTCCACTCCCAGTCATACAAGACATGGCTAAGAGTGAAGCCCCGAACATAGGAGTATTCAGGTTATATAGACATGAGTCCGTGGGATGAGGGGAGGAAGCAAGATAAGGGGTTACAAGGTAATCTTATGACGACCATTTGGTCAGGTTTGCAGGAGCATTTGATCTGGGTTTCCGGGCCTAGCAGAAGGGAGGGATTTTACACTACAAAGGTCTGGGCTAGCTTGCCAGACTAGTTTGCAAATGGCTCGGGGCTCCCTGCAAGGTGTTAACAAATTACCCCAGGTTTCCACAACTTCAGCAGCATCTGCTTTAGTACAGAAACAAAAGAGGCAAAGGTTAGACTTTATCTTTGTAAGACAGGCTAGCAAGGTGTTAACAAATTACCCCAGGTTTCCAGAACTTCAGCATCTGCTTTAGTACAGAAACAAAAGAGGCAAAGGTTAGACTTTATCTTTGTAAGACAGGCTAATCTAATTTAATTCTTACAGCTGTGCCCTCTGCCCTTCCCACATATTTATTCTTGACTGCCTTCAATGACCGTCCTAACTAAAGTGAAGAATGTTAGTGGGGGGACCCAGTTATTGTCTTATCCCTATCAATCTGTTTATCATCTTCACTCACTCATCTACTTATCACAAATTATTTTTTGTTGAATCAATTTATTTATCTGTCTCTTCCCTTCATATCTATCAGGCTCGGAAAGGTAGGATCTTGCTTAGCACATTGTTTCACATATGTAGTTGCATAGTATTTTTTTATGTAAGAAGGTGCTCAGTAAGTATTTGGTAAATGAATGAATTCCACCTAAACCCTCCATGGAATCTTGAGCAGTGAGAAACTGCCAGTCCATATCCAATAATAAGCAGAAGTCAGAAAGACTGAGCACTTTTCTTTAGGGAATAAAATGGAGTTCTTGAAGCCTCTGTTTAGCACTTACTAGGGGAAGTAAGGATGATTTTTCTTTTATTGTTGAGTCTCAGGAAGTTAAATTTTAAAAAATGTTGCCAGAGGGTGTCTACACTTACCAGATTGAGACAGAGAGAGAGAAAGTGAGAAAGCACCATGCCAGAACCCCTTCTCCATTTCTCCTTTCAAGATTCTGTGCATACATGCACACACGTACCTGGTGTGTTTCCCAAGCCACTTGGTCCTGGGTTTAAACTTCATAGTTCGCCATGTGGGATCCAGCTGCCTTAAATACCACTGGCTGGCCCGGAAATTAATACTTCTTATATGAAGGGTTTTTTGGCTTCTAATTTGTTTTGAGCTACTACATTTGGATTTCACAAGTAAAGGTAGCTTCCAAATCATTTTGTCCTTTTCCCTTTTACTAAGTGTCTTGGATTATAGCTATTTTATTCCTCTGGAATTCAATCTAGCACTCATGAATACAATTATAAAAAAAAAAGAGCAAAAACAGAGATTTGATATAAGGATTTGTTATATTTTTTTCCTACTTCCTCCATAGCCTGGAGGTGACTGAGTTACTGCTCATGGCTTTGGAAAATCCAGTAAAATATGTTGAGGACAATACAGAACAAAAGGTAAGTCTTCCAGTACAGACCTAGCATACCTGGAAAGGAATGACTTTTCGTAGGAAGACCTTTTGGAGTTGAATGTAAAATGTGAGTAAGACATGAGAGATGCCTTGTCACTGGCCTGGCATCTCATTCCACTCTGCTGTTAACATGTGGCTGCAGTTGTGCGCTGCTGGTCACTTGAGCCAGCTGGCTAATGCTGATTGTTAAGTTCTCAGAATGTTGGGGCTTGTTGGCCTTATGTTAGTAGCCTGAAGTGGGCAAGGATGGGAATATTTATGCTGCAGAAGTTGCCAAACAATTTCTTAGGTTTTGACTTACTTTTTTTTTTCCCCCCCTTGGAGAGCGTTATTAGACATGAGACATTCAACAGCATACTACTGCAGCCTAGGTGGAACTCAGTTTATGACTGGGATGTAATTCATTTGGACACTACTCTAGGGAAGAATTAATAGAAAAGCCACTTTAACTTTTCTTGAAGTCCCATCAAATACTTGTCACCTACAATTGAGCCATTTCTTTTCTAAAACTATGTAACTGTTACAATAATGATGTCTGTAATACTTAGGAAGCAGATAGAATTATTTGCTCAACTAGTGTTCTTCATAAAGCTGATCAGACACTTCGAAGAATTGTATCTCAGACAATGAAGGAGGCAAAAGGTATGTTGGATACATTATATGCTATTTTGTTAGTATGATAATGACTTTCGATTGCTACTGTTTTTCCTCTGACACTCAGGTAGTTTATTAGGTTTTAATAATGAAAGTTTCCACCCTATGTTTAGTTTCAATGTGCAATTGAGTGAAATGTAGCGAAAAATTCTACCCCAGTAACTGGGAATTCATCCATTGCTCTATCTAGTACACTTTTCTTCAATAGCTACTCTGTACTAGACTTTATTCTGAGTGTCACAGAATCAGCAGGGAGCAGAACATTCTAGTGAGGAGACAAAATACAAATCTGTCTGAATATATGCCAGTGCTCAGAAGAAAAACAAAGTAGGGTGAGGCGATGGAGAGTGGTGGGAGGACTTATTTTTAAAGGGTAATTAGGAAGGCTTCTCTGAGAGGAGAGAGATATGAACAAAGGGAAGGAGCAAATCATGCTGCTGTCTGGTGGGTCAATAAAAGCTCAGAGGTAAAGGTGGAATGTTCTAGAAAAGAGGTCATTAGGCAAAGGGGGAATGAAAGGAAGGAGACAAGGTAGTCAGGGACCATGTGTAAGATCAGCATGGCGTTTTTAACAAGGTCAGTGTGTTGTAAATCTGAATTTATAGATGAAATGTGTGGTAATTATAGTAAAACAATTCCTTTGGGTTTTGAATATTGAACTTGTTATATTTAAAATTTGATGTAAGAAGATATGTTAAGTGTTTTATAAATATTGTTTATAATCTTTTCAACCCCAGAATGTAGGTATAATTTTACAAGTGGGGAAATCAAGGTTCATAGAGGATCACTATCTCGTCCAAGGCTGGATAATACTTTGGCACCCACTGTGAAGTCTCATTCTAGTCTGTACTTTCTATCATGCTGCTCTGCATCACCAACACTTATTTTTTAAAAAATATTTATTTAAACTTTATTTATTTATTTTAATTTGACCGGAGAGAGACAGAGTAAAAGAGAAAGAGACAGAGAGGGAAAGTGAGAAAGCAAGCTGCCAGGTTTAGGACTTGAGCCATGGTCAGCCATGTGGGAGTCCGGAGCCCTTAGCCACCATGCCACCTGCAGGCCTCCCAGTTCCTTTTTAAAAATTTTGTCAGAGGGAGCATGTGTTCTCTGAGTTGGGAAATAGTGAAAGTGAGAAAACTCCCCCTGTGAGAGGTGGTCACGCAGCAATCCTTTCTTCCATTTCTCCTTCTGGGATTTTGGACATGCATGGACATGTGCCCAGCATGTTTCTCAAGCTGCAGCACCCAGGACTCATCCACACAGTCAACAGTGTGGGATCCAGCTACCTTAAGCACTCCGCCACGAGCTGACCCTATTGTACAGTTTAAAAATATTGTATACTATGTAAATTACATCTCAAAACACTAACAAAAAATAGAAATTCCGTTTCTCAGTAACACTACCCACACATGGCTAGTGGCTGCTGTATAAATAATAGATAAAGAGGGAACCAGCAGTTAGTGTAATGGCTATGTCGCTGGACTCCCACATAGTCGACCGCGGTTCTTGTCCCGGACCCGGTGGCTTAAAACTCACGCCGGGCGCGTGTGCGTGCGTGCCCAAGATCCCGAGAGGAGAATGGAGGAGAAGGGATTGTGGCGTGACCATCCCCCCTGGGGGGTGATTTCTCGCTTTCTGTCTCTCTTTCTCTCTCTGTCTGGCGAGCACACGCGCCCTATAGCGAAAACCTCTCAAAAAAAAATAAAGAACTTTTTTATTATTATAGAGCTACATTGGACAACTGTTCTAGATACTATGGTTTTATTTTGTTTTGTTTTTTGGAGAGGTTTTTGCTATAGGGCACGTGAACTCGTGAGACAGAGACAGAAAGTGAGAAATCACCCCCCAGAGGGGATGGCCATGCCGCATGCATACACATGCACCCAGTGTTAAGTTTTAAGCCACCGGGTCTGGGACCCGAACCGTACCCGACTATGTGGGAGTCCAGTGACATAGCCATTACGCTAACTGCTGGTCCCAATGTTTTCTTTTTACCCTCCCCGATATTATCAAGTTTGAATTCATTTTTTTTTTTAATTTGCCAGAGGGCACATATGCTTACCAGACAGAGATACAGAGAAGGGTAAAAACCACCCTCTACCCTAACAGAGTGTAGTCGATGCAATCCATCCTGCTCCATTTCCCCATCCTTTCTGGGTTTGGGGCAGGTACATATACACACCCAGCATGTCTTTCAAGCCGCTAGGGCCTGTATCATAATCCTGTAGCTGGTCATGTGGGATCCAGCCCCTTAACCAGTAGGCCACAGAACAGTACCCAAATTTTCATTTTCTATTTCTGCTTTTTTTGCTTTTCTACCTATTATGTCAATAAGTCAGTTAAGTCAGCTTCTTGGCTCCTCTTATGAACAAATCCCTTTTATTTATTTATTTTTTTTGAGAGGTTTTTCTATATGGCGTGTGCGCTCACCAGAAAGAGACAGAAAGACAGAAAGTGAGAAATCCCTCCCCAGTGGCCATGGCCACGCCTCAGTCCCTCCTCCATTCTCCTCAGGATCTTGGGCAGGCACCCGGTGTGAGTTTAAGCCACCAAGGTCACTACATGGGAGTCCAGCAACATAGCCATTACCCCACCTGCTGGTCCCAAACAAATCCCTTTTAGATTTGTCTTTTCTGCTAGCATATTTTATAGTTATTTTATTTCCCGTGTGACCCCGTCTGTGTATTAAACTAACTCAACTATTCATATAAGAATATGGTTTGAAGTAAGAAATGAATTTTCTGATGTCGTTAGCCCAGATCAATTTGTACAAATAATTTGAGAATATCTTTTTATTTTAGATGAACAAGTACTACCTTGCGATTTGAAGATTCTAGCAGAAGAACTTAACAAACTCAAAGCAGAGTTTTTGGAAGACCTACGACAAGGAAACAAAAGATATCTGTGCTTTCAGCAAAGTATTGATTTATCAGATGTCATTTCTTTTTTTCATTATGAGAAAGATAGTATTACTCAGAAGTATTTTTCCAAGCAGCAATAAAATTTCTGAATTTCCAATCAAATGTCTGACTTTAGCACTTCTGCAAGCTAGTTTAAAAAATTGTATTACTGGATGTTTTCTGATCAATAATGTGAATTGCAGAAGACCATTTGTTAAAAAATTTTATTTATTATTATCTTTTAATTTGCTATAAGGCATGTGTGTTCACCAGAGAGAGAGAGAGAGAGAAAGCTGCCAGGTTTAGGACCCGAACTGTGGCCATCCATGTGGGAGTCTACAACCATCATGTCACCCACTGGTCCACCAAAAAACATTCTTTTAAAAAAGAAAAAAAATTTGGAAAAGCCTACTCTAAAAGATCCATTTGTCAAAACAGAAATCACTTGGGAACCAGCAGTTAGCGTAATGGCTAAGTCGCTGGACTCCCACGTAGTCAACCGTGGTTCGCGTCCCGCACCCAGTGGCTTAAAACTCACACTGGGCTCATGTGCGTGCGTGCCCAAGATCCCGAGAGGAGAATGGAGAAGGGATTGTGGTGTGACCATCCCCCCTAGGGGGTGATTTCTCGCTTTCTGTCTCTCTCTCTGTCTGGCGAGTGCATGCACCCTATAGCGAAAATCTCTCCCCCCCCCAAAAAAAAAAACATTAATCACTTTGGTCAGTCACTTGTCAGATGTGAGATGGATCATTAGCCACATGCAGCAGGCCTTCCTCATTTATGTGCCAGAACCCTTGGGTGTGGGCCCTGGGGAGAGCAGTCACACTAAATAGACCTTGAATAAAAAGAACTAGGAGGAAGATAAGCTGCAGATGTACAGAGCTGTTTTTGTTTAATTCATGATAAGATCTACTCATGGGTAAGTCATTCTAGAAATTCAGACCAGTGAAATTATAAAATGTATTTCTTGTATTAACATTTTACATACCAGTAAATTCCTAAAACAGGAATTATATCTTGGTTTCAAAAAAGAAAAATCAAGGTCATTAGAAAGTGTTATATTTTTATTCATATATTACAAAAGCAAAGCTTCATCACAATATGAACTACATACTAATTATTTCAGCATTAAAACTGCTTTCCAGAATCCCTAAACAATATAGTATATTTTACAACCATAATGCAACTTTTATGTCTTGCATACAAAATATGTTCTTTACATCAAAGTACATAACAAAACAAGTTCTAGAAAGCATGTACCCTCTAAGACTAATGAAAAAGTCTTTAGCAGGGAATTTTATAACACATTCATTTGACAAATATTTTTGTAGAACTTAAAACAAGGCTTATCTCTGAATTCTTTTTAGTAATGTTCCCTTTGTCAAACGATTCCTCAGATGAATGGCAAACACTTATTTCTAAAATGAAATAGCACTGGAAATACCCAATGGAATTTTTTCAAAGTAAAAGCCTAGCCTTTACTTGAATTTCAAGTTGTAGCTACATACTACATTAGTAAAATCTGAAATAAAACTATTCCCTGTTAATCTCTTCACAGTCTCTTAAAAAAATATTAGTGGAGATAAATTATCTACCAACTTTAAAAATCTAAACTTATGTTCACTGAACAAAAATAAATTTAGTTTCCAGAACATTGCCTGTTAACAGCAAAGTACTATAAATAGTGCATGTTAAACTTTTCCCAACTCATTTCTATAAAATATTTGATTAAAAATATGAGAAACACATTTAATACATAAGGGAAGATACTAGTATCTTCCCAAACACGGAATTTAACTCACAGGAAATTTAAATAAAATTCTAAATCTTTAAAAAAATACAATACCAGAAAAGTTTCTAAGGTAGATTTGCTTCAAACATTTTAGTGCATTTAGAATTGTAGCTTTTAAGCATCAACACCTTTGGAATACCAACTGTGCTCTTTAAATCTGTGGAAAATGAGAATTCTACATTCACCTGAAAAAAAAAATTTCATGTTTAAATTAAAATTCACCTTCAAAACATCCATTTTAGTTGTTAGATAAAACTGTACTTGTCACTATTGAGCCAGCATATATAGTTAATAAGCTAGTTTTAATGAGTTCTTCCTCTTTGTTTAATAAACATTTTCTTTTTCTGTCTTGGGGTATTGCTTTTATTTGAAGATTATATAAAAGAAAAAAATAGTTGCAAAAGCTTCCAAATGATAACCTGCTTCTTTCTGGCCATTAATAAATACTAGAGCCAAGTTGTACATTTGGAAATTGCTATTATAAAACTGATTGGCTCAGTGAATAAGTGAAATAACAGAGCAAAATACAATTGTAGGATTTTAGATTCACAAGATTTGACAAGAAGAGTTTTAGTTTGAGGAAACTGTCCATAATGTTCTTTAAACAATGCAGTTGAGGTTAGCTAGGATTGGATATAAGACCACAATAATTCATTTTAATGGCTCTGTAGCATTTGGAAGGGAGGGCAGATGATTTATTAACTTGGCACTTGGGGTTTGTGAGTATTTACCATCCTTTTATTTACTTAGAGACCCTTTTCTGTTAATAGATGCTTAATAGTTAGGATATTCTCTTTAATTAGAAGCCAATTAGGAGTACTTTCAAGATATAAACCAAATTAAAGACAAAATTTTTGCAAATTATACAGAAACCAACAGTTAGTAACAATGTATTTTATTATTTGACCAATTTCTATTCAGAGTAAGCTAGTTATTACATAATATAAAAACAAGTATCCTATCCAAAATGAATTATCTAGATTTATTCAGAAAGTTATATTTTTATAAACAAATATCAAGCTTAAATGCATCTTATATCTATTTTCACACCATATCCTTTTCTACTAAGGCGATGATTCAATCACAGTTTCCATATAATTTTATCACTGTACATGAAGATAAAAAATATGCAAATAAGAATTCCAATTTGAAGTCACAGAAAATATTTTAAATAGCCAGTTATGAAGGGACCAGAATCCATTTTGGACACATGTTCTCTGTCTTGCTAACATTGCTTTACCATCACATTTTCCATGTGTTCCTATAACCACCTTTTCTTGTCAATTATAGGCAATAAATGGAAGGCAGGGAAAGGAAACTGGAGAGGTTTTACTGAAGGACTGCATTTTATTGATAAGATGGATGATTTCCATTTTACCTCTTTGGTTATCAAAGGAATAGGAAAAATAACAATCTCAAAACCATTAAAAACTTCACTTGAAACTAACAATGTCAGAATCAAGGTTTTAAATGAAAAGGAAATTAAAACTCCTCAAATTAAAAGGCAAAAAGTCAACTAGCACAATCGTGTATTTACCTGTGGTTTTCAAAAATAAACTAAAAATATAGTAAAAGTCCAATGCAAAACTGTTGTATGTTTAAACTAGAAATTGAATTAACGTTTTTTAAATATTAAACACAAATTTCAGTTTAAAGTCTTGTTTCATTTCTTAACTTTCACCTTGAATTTTTGAAACTTCAATTTTAAAAAGAATGAACTGTTTCCCCTTGTAGAAAATTAAGGTCTACTACACTGAAATAGCTTTATATCTGAAATAATACCAATTCAACATAAGGTATGTGAACTAAATGGTATTTCAATTAAGAGTAATTTTAAAAGCAACTTCTCTACTAAACACTGAAGTAAATTGTAAGAGAAAATATTTCTACCATTTTGAAATATGGCAGAAATAACATCTAGCTGCAAGGTATATATTGAAATTATCAAGAGTGTGGATAAGTCTTGAAGTTTTTATGGACCACAAATGCGGAAAATTTAAATGAACACCTATAAAATTATAATTGCACTCCAATTCTAAAATGCCTCAATGAAAAAAATGTCAATACCAGTGCATCTAACTATTCTAATACATAAATGACCATGACCAGATTTTTATGAAAAGAAAAAAAGGGGAGAAGGGCTTTTGTTTCCACTGTCAAATTTATTATCTATGAATTATAATGTCTTTAAATTAGAAGACACCTTATTAAGGATGACCAAAACAAAACAAACAGAACAAAACATAAACTATAAAACACCGAAAGATAAAAATCAAACAAAACATGTGATTGTTTTCTATCAGTGTTGGTTATGTTGCCCTCTTGCAAAATGACAGGCAAAATCATACTTGTTTTTACATTTGCATCCACATATATTACACTGAAAAGGATTTTCATACCCATGACATCCCATATGAATAGTGTAAAGGATATTGTCTGCAAAGTACATGTCACAGTGCTGGCAGTGGTGCAGAAGCTGAGGATCCTGGACTGGCAGGGTTGGGGCTGGAGTACTTGGCTGGCTGTTTCCTATGCTAGGAGTACTCGTGTGGGCACTTGGTTCACTGCTTGGACCTGCCACTGGACTATAGTTCCTCTGACTATGTGATGGCCGAGGTTCGGGGCTTGTAGGAGAGGAGCTCTGAGGAATACTTGCTGACACAGCAGAAACTACTGCTTGGGTGGCGGGCTGCTGAATCATGAAAGGCTTTTCATCTGGGCAGGGAACTACATCAGGAGAAGCAGGGTTTTGGTTTTCAGGTGGCAAACTGGACAACTGTCCTGCTAGAGTTGAGAGCTGATTTAAAGGGTTGTCAACCATAAGTTCTTGGGGGTCCCGTGGTAGGCCACCAGTTGGTGTGGTTTTTGCCATACTTTCATAGGAGTCAGTCTGGATATTTGGGATTTCATGAGTAAAATCATTAAGGTAGTCTGGTTTCTGAACCACCATGGAAGGTGGACTTAAGTTGATTAGTGCTCTTCTGCTATATCCCAGGTTGCTTGTCTTCTTCTGTAAAACCCCCCACATTTTCTTGCTGCTTAAGGAAGACCTAGTACCTTTAATTGGCACCATTTTATGCTTTCGCCTTCGATGATGGGATAGGTTACTTCGATCACTGCAGCGGAAGGAACATAATTCACATTTGTATGGTTTTTCTCCAGTATGGGAACGCATATGGGCTTCCAGATGACGCTCATAAGCAGATGCGAATGGACATAAGTGACATCGATGAGGTTTCTCACCTGTTTTGAAAAATGAGGGGAAACTGTAAGACTTGTTCATTTGTGGGAAGTTTCGTATTTGTCCATCACTGGATTTGGAAAATGATAAAAAATAAAATGGTTTTCCGAAATTTCCACCTGCATTAAAAATTTTCAAACTGCAAACTGGATTAAACCTTATGCACTCATCAGTCACAACTGGAGATACGTAAGTATTTATATTCTCTCAGTTAATATAACATAAAAATTGTCACTGTTCAAGTGGCATTTGGGGAAAGAAGAAACAGCACAACTGACACTAATATTCTAGTAATATTCTCTACATAGCAATGATTGCATCAAAATTATGTTTCAGAATTATATATTCATGTATATCTATACATAAACACTCATGAACATTCACACATATATGTACACACACATGTATGTGCTTTTCTCGGGGAAAAATAGTAACTTTTTTTTTTGGAAAGATTTTTGCTATAGGGCATGTATGCTTACCAGAGAGGGATACAGAGAGACAGAGAGAAAGAGACAGAAAGCAAGAAATCACCCCCCCGAGGAACGGCCATCCTGTAATCCCGTCTCCTCCATTCTCCTCTCAGGATTTTGGGCATGCATGCACATGCCCCTGGTGTGATTTTGAAGCTGCCAGGTCCAGGACTTGAACCATGGTCGGCCATGTGGGAGTCTAGCGACGTAACCATTACACCATCTGCTAGTCTTCAAAATAGTAATACTTTTAAAAAAAAAGTCTTCCTAGGAAACAAAGCCCACTATCAAAATGTGCTTCCTAGTCCCCACGTCTGAGTATGCATCGTGTCCTTTCAAAACTGCCTACACTTCTCCCCCATCTTCTTACTCTTCAATTGCTAGAAGGAATGAATTCGATTAACACTGTTAACTAAAGACTGCCCAAATATATAAAATAAACATTTGGAAGATGAGATTTAGTCATTCATCTAACAGGTAAGCACTGAGTATCTTTTATGTGCCAGATTCTCTGTACATTCTGGAGTACAAAAATGGCCTTATCACAATCTCTGTATTTCCAGAGGCTTTCAGCCCACCACAAGGATGTGAGGGAGTTTAAGATGCCATGAAGCTCACAGGAAGGTTTTTCAGAAGAAACCTTGGTTGATTAAGGTGAGGCCAGTGATCCTCAGTACGTCAACCACTATATATTGTACAATACAAATGTTTTCTCCTTGTTGTAACGGAAAGGTACTAGTGAGGATAAAGATTAAAAAAATGTTATCACTTTATATTGCCGTTAGTAGTAACCTTCCCAATCTAAGAAGCAGACAATGTTGAGAGATTATTTAGATTCAAAAGGAAATGTTGGGGACCAGCAGATGGCATAACAGTTACGTTGCTGGACTCCCATGTAGTCAAACATGGTTCAAGTCCTGGACCTGGAGGCTTAAAACTCACGCCAGACACGCATGTGTGTGCCCCAAATTCCAAGAGAATGGAGAAAAAGAGATTGTAGCATGGCCGTCCCTCCAGGGGGCGATTTCTTGCTTTCTGTCTGTCTCTCTGGTGAGCACATGTACCGTAAAGCAAAAGTCTCTTTCTAAAAAAAGGAGGAAATGGTGGTCCAACAGGTGGTATGGTAGTTAAGGTGCTAGACACCCACATGGGTGACTGGTTCAAGTTCCAGACCTGGTTATTTGAAAATCATGCCAGGCATGTGTGTGCCCAAATGCAGAGAATGGAGAAGGGATTTCCCTTGGGACTGATTTCTCACTTTCCCTTCTCTGTATCTCTCTGTCTCTATTCTCTCCAATAAGCTCCAGTACCCTGTGACAAAAACCTAAAATAAAGAAGAAAAATAAAATGGTGAGCCAGCCTACAGCCTAGTGGTTACAATAGCTGGATCCCACATGGCCAACTGAATGGTTCAAGTCCTGGACACAGTGACTTGAAAAACACACTGGGCCTGGGGACCAGCAGTTAGCGTAATGGCTATGTCACTGGATTCCCACATAGTTGACCGCGGTTTGCATCCCGGACCTGGTGGTTTAAAACCCACGCCGAGTGCATGTGAGTGCGTGCCCAAGATCCCAAGAAGAGAATGGAGGAGAAGGGACTGCGGTGTGGCCATCCCCTCTGGGGAGTGATTTCTCGCTTTCTGTCTCTCTGCCTCTCTGTCTGTCTGTCTGGTGAGTGCACGCGTCCTATAGTGAAAAACCTCTCAAAACAAAACAAAACAAAACAAAACACACTGGGCCCAAAAATCCCAAAAGGAGAGAGAGAAGGGATTATGACATGATCATGCCTCACGGGAGTACTTTCTCACTTTTCCTCTGGCATTTAAAAAAAAACATAAGGGAAAGGGGTAAGGCAGGAGAAGCTCTACAAGGGGCCTCACTTCTAATCCATTCCTGTGTTGTTATGCCATTGCTTTATAAGAACAAAGTAACTTCCATTCCAACCTTAAATCAACTTTCATTTTTGAACTACCAGGACTATTTATATGAAAACCAACCTGCCTCCTTGGACCCTCTACTGCCCTTAAAGAAATGCCTTCTCCAGTTGCTTCTCCATTACCTGTGTGGATTCTAATATGTTCAATAAGCCGGGCTGTTCCTTTGCTGGCATAGTTGCAGTAGCGACACTTGAGCTTCCCATCAAAGGTCCTTTCAAACCCGTCTACTAACATTCCTGAGTTTTCATCCAGGGAAACTTCAACAGATGGGTGATCCAGTCCATTTTGATCACCATCTGTTCCAGCTATAAATAAGCAGAGCAAAAGAAATTATGCACCTCAGAATCAACTCAATTTGGCATTTTAGTCTTAAATGGTTGAAAAATCTTTTATAAATTGACAGTTCACATCCCATAAAGTTAAACTGATATAATTACATATTTTTTTCTGAACTGAGACTAATTCATACAAAAACCAGTATACTAGGTTGTCAGAAAAGTTATGACACATCCTTGTGTAGAAGCAATATGCCATGACTTTTCCGACAATCTAATATTTTAAGACCCTTTTATGGGGGAATCTCAAATTACTCACACAAATTGTATAACATGCTTCTGAAGAAGAAAACAGGTGAATAGACAGAGGTGAGTAGATAGATTAACTGAAGAGTGATGGCCTAGTTTACACATAGATGTTTAAGATTCTACCTAATCCTATCATTCTAATCAGTAGTCATAATCTCCAAAACTCTTACCTCTATTAACTATAGTCTAAAGCATTTAATGAGTTTTCCACCATTCCAGTTTGTACATGTGTTCTAGGTTACAACTACAATCTTAAAATTCTAACTAAGCACACAAAGGAAAATATTGTATCTAATACTTCTGAATGTTAGAACTCTAAGTATTTCAGAGATAAAAGGCATTTCTTTGACTTTTTGCTTTTAATCTAACCTGACTACTTATTTATATGGACAAAAAAATTGAAGGAGCAGATGGTCATCATCAGAAAAACCAGTAAACAGCAGGGGCTACAACCCTGGTCTCTCTTTTTTTTTAAAAAAATTATTATTTATTTTTTTCCTTTTAATCTGACCAAAGAGAGAGAAAAAGAAAGTGAGAAGGTAAGCTGCTGGGTCCAGGACTCGAACCACAGTTGGCCATGTGGGATTCCAGCACCTTAACCACCCTGCCACCTGCTGGCCCCAACCCTGGTCTCTTGAATCCCTGTTCAGGAAACTATACACTAGTGTTAAAAGTGAAATTTTTTATTCTCATAGCTTTATGGGAAAAGGGCTTCTACTCTCTTCTAGGAGGTAACAGTGCTGGCATATTCAAGCTCCTTGTTTCATGGTCTCCTACACTCTCTCACCAGGAAGAGAGTAATTTTGCTGGTTGGGGCAAATCCAGTACTCAACAGGGCTGCTGCACTGGAAAGACAAATCAGTCTCCCCATCTCTCCTACAGCTTTTTCAAGCCTGTGTCTCTCAAATTTTAATGTGTGCATGAATTACTTGGAGATCTTATTAAAACAGAATCTAATTCATCAGCTCTGGGGTGGGGACTGGCATTCTGCATTGTTAGAAAAACAAGCTTCCAAGTAATTCCTGGTCCCTGCTGCTTACTCCTAGATTATAAGGTCCCTAACCATCTAGGAAAGGTGTCAGCAAACTTTTTCTCCAGGGGTGAAAGAGTAAATACTTGAGGCTTTATGGGCCATCTGATCCGTAAAGGATAAAAGCAGCTCTAAAAGAAATGTAGACAGGGACCAGCACTTGGCATAATGGCTATGTTTGGACTCCCATGTAGTTGACAGTGGTTCAAGTCCCAGCCTGGTGGCTTAAACTCACACCGGGTGCATGTGCATGCGTGCCCAGGATCCCAAGAGAAGAACAGAGAAGGGATTGTGGCATGGCCCATCCCGGGGTGATTTCTCGCTTTCGGTCTCTCTGTCTTTCTGGTGAGCGCACACGTCCTATAGGAAAAATCTCTCAAAAAAAAAAAAAAAAAAAAGAGTAAACAAATGTGTCTGTGTTCCAATAAACCTTTATGGACGCTGAAGTCTGAATTTTGTCTAATTTTCTTGTAGTCATGCCATTATTCTCTTGTTTTTCTTTAGTCACTTTTAAATGTAAAAGCCATTCTTAGCTTATAGGTCATACAAATAGAGCAGTCCAAATGCGGCCCACAGGCTGTAGTTTGCTGACTCCTGTGCTAGGTTTAGGAAAAGATTCCAGTCCTTGTATAGTAAGCTAACCAGACAAGGTTAACCTCTAGCAGATTAAGCAGGTTGCTGCTTTCTCCATTCTAGTCTGTCTTCTCAGATGAATAAACATGGTCAGCCCTTTCTTCATTTTAAGAGGGAAACAAGAGAAACCCCTATTTTGATTTAACAAACTTTTCCTGAAGGCAGAATTTTTTGTAAGGTAAAGCTGAAGTTTTGATCCCCTTTAGGTTCCTATATCTACTGTTAGCTAATAGAACCTGGAGGATGGGAAGGGTATTTAGAACCCCTAACCTCCCAACAAGACCATAATGCATGCCTAGACTATGTAAGATCATTCGTATTCAGCAAAAATCTGACTTATTTAAAGACAGAAAAATTGCCCTATTATCTTCCTATTTAAAAAAGGCAATGATTTATATTAACGAATGGCAGCCTGTGTACATACACAAACATTAATGCATTTATAACAATTGAATTATTTAATAGTATTAAGATGAGTCTACCTCCCTGAAGAGCCTCTGCTTCTTTGTCCCCACTAACTGATCCAGAAATCATGTTCACATGATGGGTCTGCTGAGTCAGGTATTCCTGAAAGTCTTTCACGAAGTCCAAAGGCTCTGGTTTCTTCTCACCCATCTTTGCTTTTCTTTTTAAAAGTTTACAGTTCGTTACACCTAGAAAAAGAACTGAAATAATTTTACACTATTTAAGGATATCCAGTACACAGTAAAACAGCAACAGTGACAAAAATGATCTCGTTCAAGACATTATACAAAGCAACAGAAAACACAGGTCTGGCCTTTAAATACCTTAAAATATTCCTGGCAAGCTAAAGAAGGTATACACAAAATGGTGAAAAATCAATATATTTAATAATTAAATAAACTAGAATTTAAATTTAGTCATAGAGGACAGAAGGTATTACAAAGACAAAAATATTAAGAATTAAAAAAAAAAGTCCAGATAAAAAGGCACATCATCAGGGATTATCAATGAAAGAGACAGTTGGGACCAGCAGTTAGCATAATGGCTATGTCACTGGACTCCCACGTAGTTGACCGCGGTTCGAGTCCCAGACCCAGTGGCTTAAAACTCATGCCGGGCACATGTACATGCGTGCCCAAGATCCCAAGAGGAGAATGGAGGAGAATGGATTGCGGTATGGCCATCTCCTCTTGGGGGCGATTTCTCACTTTATGTCTCTGTCTGTCTGGTGAGCACATGCGCCCTATAGCAAAAACCTCTCCAAAAAAAGAGAGAAAGAGACAGTCAAGAAACCAAGTGGCTCATCAGGGACTTTTTGTGGTTCAATATAGGTGTGACTAGCCACAGGTAGCTATTAAGCACTAGATATGTGGCTAATACAAATAACCCGAGTTTTAAAATTTGATCTAATCAATCGATGGTGACTACCAACAAAGCCTCTTAGATCAGTGTCCACATGAATAGTCTCAACGCAGATAGTCTAGAATGGTGAGTGGCAAAATTTTTATGAAGGGTCAGACAGTAAACATTTTAGGCTCTGCAGACCAAGTGTGTCTCGGCTACAACGGTTCAACTCTTGTTTTTTTTCCTCTTCCATGAGAAAGGGAGATGGGGGAAGCATGCCAACAGGGTCTCATGTCATGATCCTACATCCAATCTCAGCCAGTCAGAATCAGGGACACATGTACATGTGCCCAGTGTGCACTGTGACTTAATCTGTCTGTTCTCCTACTTTATGTATGTGGAACAATATATTGGATCATCAGGAAAGTCGTGACACATTTTTGCATAGAAAAACACATCATGACTTTCCCAAGGACCCAATACTATGAACTTTTGTCTGACTTCTGTCACTCAACATTATGATTGTAAGATTCATCCATACTGTTGCATGCAGGTTAATTCTGACTGTTTAACTGCTGTACCCCACTGTGTGACTGTGCTGCAATTAATTCATCTACTGTATTATTGTGGAAACATCTGGGTAATTCCAGTATTGGGGTGCTGTGAATAAAGCTTCTATGAACAAATTACTACAAGTCTTTGGTTAAATATGTATACTTACTTATTGACTGCACAGAAGCAAAATAAAAACCACTGAGTCAAAGGGTATGCATATACTCAGCTTTAGATAATAACAAATATTAGGTTGTTGGGAAAGTCATGACATATTTTTCTATGTTTTTCTAAGCAAAAATGTATCATGACTTTCCCAACAACCCAACACTTCTTCAAAAAGATTCTACGGGGCCAGCAGGTGGCATGGAGGTTAGAGCCACTGGAACCCATATGGCTGACTCTGAGGTTCGAGGTGTGAACCCGGAGACTTGAAAATCACACTGAAAATGTGTGTGTGTGTGTGTGTGCCCAAAATCCCAAGGGGAGAATGAAGAGGGGACAGCAGTGTGGTCTTTCTCCCCAGGGGGCGACTTCACACTTTCCCTCTCCAACTCTGGCAAGCACATATGCCCCATAGTGAGAACTAAAAAACAAAAACAAAACAAAGTATACCAATTTACACTCTCACAAGCAGTGAATAAAAGTTCTGTGGCTCCACATCTTCGTCAGCACTTGAATATTTTTTTGCCTTTGCATTTTAACCACTCTGGTGTGGTGGTATCATACCAATTTTAATTTCAGTATCTAACTGATTAACGAAGGTGTGTATTTTTTTATTTGAGAATTTTTTCTTTCTTTTTTTGAGAGATTTTTGTTGCTACAGGGTGTTGGCACTCGCCAGAGACAGTGAGACAGAAAGTGAGAAATCACTCCCCAGAAAGAATATCCACACCACAGTCCTGTCTCCTCCATTCTCCTCTTGGGCTTTTGGTCGTGCACGTACATGGCACCCAGCCTGAATTTCAAGCTACCAGGTCCAAGACTCAAACCACAGTTGGCCATGTGTGAGTCCAGTACCCTAATCACTACACCTCTAATCCAGTATGACCCTGGTGCATACTTTTGGCCGCTTAGATATTGGGTTGTCTATCTTTTTTCTAGTTAATATTAAGATTTCTTTATAATATATATATATTTTTTTGAGAGGTTTTTGCTATAGGGCGTGTGCGCTCGCCGGAAAGACAGAGAGAGACAGAAAGCGAGAAATCACCCAGGGGGGATGGCCACACCGCAATCCCTTCTCCATTCTCTCGGGATCTTGGGCATGCACACACACGCACCTGACGTGAATTTAAGCCACCAGGTCCAGGACTCTAATTGCGGTCGACTAACATGGGAGTCCAGCAACATAGCCATTATGCTAACTGATGGTCCCAAGATTTCTTTATAATGTTCTTTTTTTTGTTGTTGGAGAGGTTTTTTGCTATAGGGCACGTGCACTCGCCAGAAAGACAGAGAGAGACAGACAGAAAGCGAGAAATCACCCCCACAGGGGGGATGGCCATGCCGCAATCCCTTCTCCTCCATTCTACTCTTGGAATCTTGGGCATGTACGCGTACGCACACGCGCCCGGCATGAGTTTAAACCGCCGGTCCACAACTTGAACCGCGGTCGACTACGTGGGAGTCCAGCAACATAGCCATTATGCCAACTGTGGTCCTTTTATAATATTCTTGATAGGAGTTCTTTATTACATATATATTGCAATTATCTTCTCCCATTCTGTGGTTGCCTTTTTGTTTTCTTTTATAGAATAATTTCCTTTTATATCTAACCAGATTTCTCACTTTCCCTCTCACTGCATCTGTTTCCCCTCTCCTCCCCCGCCCTCCCCCCGAATATACCCTCCTTGGAAGCGCACACACTCTAAGGCAAAAACCTCTCAAAAAAAAAAAATTTCCTTGTTTACATTTTACATGAGGATATTCTCCTATATATATTTTTTTAACCTTTAACTAATACTTTTATCTGGAATTCAGTGTTATATAAGATTTAAGAGTTAAAACATTTTCTTTCTAGGAGATATCTTATTGCCCAAGCAATAAGATATCAAGCCAGACTTTTTCCAGGAGGTTCCAGTATTACCTTTCTATCAATAAATCAGATGCCCTAAGCACACAACTAGGCCAATACATGGCGGGGAGGATGGATCCCACATGGCCAACCAGACCTTTTGGCTTGAGTACTGGGCCTGGTGGCTTGAAAAGCACTTCGGCGTGTGTGAGTATGTGCCCTAAATCCTGAGAAGAGAATAAAGAAGGGACTGCAGCATGGTCATACTCGGGGAGTGCTTTCTCACTTTCCCTGTCTCAGTCTCTCTGGCAAGTACACGCGCCCTGTAACACTAACACACGCACACAAAGCATACAACTGCTACAGTACAATATGTCACAATATGGAAAAAATAAACAAGATTGCCAGTAAGCAAGCTGAAGAAAATGATATTTTTATGTGTCCATCTCAAGTTTAAGAACACAAATGAGCCTAATTACAGAGGATGGCTGGCATATTTTGACACTTTGCTATTATCATATTGTCACTTCACTGTGTTCTCTGCATAACCTGTAAGCTGTTTTTCAATCATAATGCATGATAAACAAAATACATGCCTGGAATGTTTTTCAAACTGTAGGTGCTGTTTTTTTTTTCTTAAATTTATGTGTACTAACTAGAGACAGAAAGAGAGCGAGTGAGAGAGAGAGAATGTGTACCCCCAAAGAGAATGGCTATGTCACAATCCCTTCTCCTCCATTCGCCTCTGGGATTTTGGGCACACATACACACACACGCACACACACACGTACACCCACAAACATGTGTGGTGTGTTTCCAAGCCACTGGGTCTAAGACTCAAACTGCATGGTAGCCATGTGGGATCCAGCTGCCTTAACCACTATACCACTAGCCCAGGCCATGTGGTTGGCCATGTAGAATACGGCTATTTTAACCACTAGGCCAGGAGGCAGGCTTCAGGAGCTAAAACTTTAAAACAGAGACATCAAGATGCAAATCTGAACACAACCCAAGGCAATATACAAAAGATCTGTATGAGACTCTTTAAACCTGCCTTCCTCCCAAAGTCTCTCTCTTTAATAAACTATGAGAGAATTTTGAGAATGACATAATTAGGGAATAAGAGTATATATTTCACAAATTTTTGACATGCGTTTGAGGGTTTCTAAGCATAGGAAGAATACTTAACCACTAACTTGCCTTTATAACAATTTGACGGTTAGGCAGGCCTATATACATAAATCAATTACAATTAAACAGATGTGTTTAAATATACAACTTGATAATTATACTCACTGAAAAATCTACTTTACCACAGAATAAATATTAATAGAGAAGGCTGACAAATAAGGCTTGGTTTACAACCAAGTAACATGGGCATTCAAAAAGAATTGTAACATGGGCTAGCGTGGAGGTTAAGGCACTGGATCCCCCACATCGCTGACTATGTGGTTTAAATCCCAGATCTGGTAGCTTGAAATCAAGCTGGATGCTTGTGCATACATGCCCAAATTCCAGAGAGGAGACAGGAGAGGAAGGGACTGTGGCAAAGCCATTTCCTCTGGCAGGTTATTTCTTATTTTCCTTCTCTCTCTGGCAAGCACATATGCCCAATAGAAAAATAAAGGAAAAAAGAAAAAAGAATTACAATTACTAAAAAAAAAACCTCTCTGCAGGTAAAAGGGTTATGAGGCTTTAAGGAATCAGAAAACAATATACAAATACAACTAAATAGAACCCAGTAAGAAGAAATCCAGAAGAGGAGTTATACAATCTAACCTTTTCACCCCAAATCAGTTATTCCTTTTTCTTGCCACTCCAACATTGATGAAATGTAGAGTAATTGAAATTTATTCTGGAGATACACCACTGGACTCCAAAAGGCCATGGAGGGAATTTCAACTAAAATTGGAAAGCCATACAGAAGTCTGCAAAGAAAAGCGCATCACAAATTAAAATCTTAAGACAAAAACTGAATTAGCTAATACCCTGTGTCAATCTTATCACTACCATTAACTGAAAAGAAACAAATCTGACAGATAAGCAAAGAACAAAGCAACAGCTTCAATTCACCAAAAGCAGAATCCTTGGGGTTGGCAGGTGGTGCAGTGGTTAAGGTGCTGGACTTCCACATGGCTAACTGTGGTTTGAGTCCCAGATCTGGCAGCTTGCTTTCTCATTTTCCCTTTCTCTCTCTCTCTGGTCAAATTAAAAATAAATAACAATAATAACACAAAAATAAAATAACATAGAATCCCCCCAAGGTAACATGCACTGGTGAGGCTATTGTTTTTCCATTTGTAGATTTCTTTTTTGTGTGTGTGTGTGTGTGTGTGTGTGTGTGTGCTATAGGAGTGTGCACTTGCTGGAGAGACAGAAACAGAAAGACAAGAAGTGAAAAATCACCCCTGGTGGGAGGGTGCCCAGCCCATAATCCCTTCTCCTCTATTCTCGGGATTTTGGGCACACACACACATGCCTGGTGAGTTTTAAGAAACCTGGTCTGGGATTTGAACTGCGGTCATACTCCCATCCTTTATGTGGGAGTCCAGCGACATAACCATTAGGCTACCTGCTGGCCCCACGACAGGAAGATTTAAGATTTCACTTTAGGTTTAAAAAAAATTTTTTTTTTCCTGTTTTTGGAGAGGTTTTTGCTATAGGGTGCATGTGCTTGCCAGACAGAGACAGAGAGACAGAAAGTGAGAAATCACCCCCCCCAGGGGAGATAGCCACACCACAATCCCTTCTCCTCCATTTTCCTCTCAGGATCTTGGGCACGCACGCACATGAGTTTAAGCCACTGGGTCCAGGACTCAAACTGCAGTTAGCTATATGGGAGTTCAGCGACATAGCCATTATGCTAACTGCTGGTCCCTCATTTTTGGTCATATTTTTCATATCTTTTTTTTTTTTTTTTTTTGAGAGAGAGAGTTTTGCCGTAGGGCACATGCTCTAGGCATTTTCCTAGAAGACAGGGAAAGTGAGAAATCACCTCCCAACGGGAATGGTCACACAGCAATCCTTTCTCTATTCTCCTCCTGGGATCTTGGACATGTACCCAGTGTGAGTTTCCAGTCACTAGGTCTGGATTCAAACTGCAGTTGGCCATATGGGAGTCCAACAACATAACCTCTATGCCATCTGCTGGCCCTAGCTTTTTTTTTTTTTTCTTAATTCTTTTCCAGAGGGAACCTATGCTCACCAGTGAGAGAGAGCAAGAAAGCACCCCCATGGGGAATGGTCATCAGCAATGCCTTGTCCTCCCTCTCCCTCCTTTGGAGATTTTGGGCATACACCCATGCCTGATGTGTTTTCAAGATGTGGATTCCAGGACTCCAATTGTGTGTTTGGCTATGTGAAATCCAGCTACTTTAACCAGCAGGCCATTGGATGGCCCATCTATCTAAATTTATTTATTTAATTTGTTCCCAGTGCACTTCTATAAAGGTCAGGTTTAGGACTAGCAGATGCCAGTAATCCACATCCCTGGACTCCTACGTGGTCCACCAGGTCACCTTACATGGGGCACCTGTGCATGCCTGCCCAAAATCACCAGAGGAGAATGGGGAAGGAATTGTAGTGTGGCCATCCCTCTGTGTGTGTGTGTGTGTGTGTGTGTGTGTGTGCGCGTGGGTGGGTGCACACGCGCGTGACTTCTCACTTTCTCTCTCCAGCGAGTGCAGCGAACTGCCCTATAGCAAAAAGCTCTAGTTACATAAAAGTTACATAAAACTGCATTAGCCCTATGTAGGAAAGGGTTAAAACAAAACAGTAAACAACCAAGCACACCTAACAAGGGCATATCAGATTCCCATTATCTTTATTATTCTCTCACAATACATAAACAGTTGTGGTTTTCTGGGAACCACCTGGGCCTCTAGGGGAAAAGAGCACCAAACGTCTCAATTCACTGTAAGAAGTTCACATGAATATACATATAAATGTCTATTTGCGTGGAAAACAAGACATACGTAAAAGTTAAAACGGAATTTTAAAGTGTTAATCCAGACATAAAAAAGTTGTTTCAAAGAAGTTTTGTTTCTTCTAAGGTGAATTTTCTGCGATCTCGCATTTTAAAACATCCTTATTTCTTCTCCTGCTTGTCACTCCTCCTTTCAGGTTCCGACTGAACATTGAGGAGACACTAAATGGGCCACGTGGTTAATGGCAGCTAGACCCGATCTAACTTGGGATGTACAATAATCAAGCACTTACTAGGTTACTCACATTTCCGAGAGTTTGCGAAACCCTAAACCCCGAATGAACCTAAACAGTTTTTGCTAGTGTTCTCAAAGCTCATTTGTACCGAAGATTAGGAGTACAGGTGCAATAGAAAATAAGCTAAGGGTCCTCAGGAAAAAAGAGAAAGGTTTTAGAAGTCCTCTCACAACGAGCTGCCCTGGTCCGGCGTCGGGGCAGCATCCTCGCCAGGATTCAGAACAACACCCTTACCAAGATTCGGAACACCTAGGAGACCCGCGCCTCGGCTGACCCGAGCCTCAGTCACTCGGTCGAAGACGCAAACCTCGGGGCGTCCCCCGCACGACCACCTGTCAGAGCCGGAGGCAGCAGTCCCCACCCCAGAGCCTCGGAGCTCCAGCCTGAGGGCCTGGGTCCCTCGGGGGTCCCTCATTCAGTCACCGCAGCCTTCCGCGCTCCAGCCGAGGAGGTCCGGGGT